CCGGCGAATACGATTACCATTTGCTGGCTGGATGCGATCCGCGGCCTGTAGTTCGGTGACGCCTACTCTAGGGTAAAGCTAAAGCTCAGAGATAACAAGTAGGCTCTAAACTGCTAGGAATATTGATCGTTGGGAAGGCTGGTTTTGCTATCGCGGTGATTTTCATCACCATTAGTGACGACACCAACAGCACAGGACTGATGACAGTTTCGTAACATGGCTTGGTGGCAAGTAGATCCAAGGATATAGGTACAAAGAAGGACGTGCGAGAAACATTGCGCAACTTTACTGGTTTCAGCATACTTGAATGAAGGGCACCGCTTCGACTTGACAAATAGAGATCCTGGCCCAGACGAAAACGTAACAATGGAGGGAGTTTCTCAGAATCTCCTCCTCCACTACGAATTTATTCATTATGCATTTCAGCATCGATCCAGCATACTCACCGCCGGGAAAAAAGGAGCTCAAGAGGATCGACGACCGCAGTTCGAAGTACCCAATCGGCCGCCCAGACAATGAATGGAACAGACAATGTGAGCCCAGACTGTTGACTTATGTCCAATCTGCCAATCCAAATGCCAGATTCCAAACCATCTCGCAACAATATTTGTGCATCCAGTAGTAATAAGCTTAGGGCAACTGTAGTATTTAGTGAATGACCATTCAGCACAAAGCTAATTTAATGGCCTCGAACGCCTATATAGAAAACAGAGCTGTAGCTTGTGATCCCATCCTTGGATATGCCTTCCACTCCACTTGGAAACTGTCATGAATTCTGCATTAATGATGTCACCTCGAATGATGGTGAAAAGTCTGTGATAAGTTGCTCGGCTGGACGAACAACACAAAACTGAACACACTATAATGCTTTATATTAATATTTTTATGTGACACGGCTAAACACCGTGGAGTAACTCCGGAGAATTCAGAAACCTGACGGATGGTTGCTGATCACTCGAAGCGTAAAGCGCGCGTTGGCTATACCCCTTATTAATTCACCTGTAACTTTGATTTCTGTTTAACCTAATTCAGCTCATTTCCGTGGCCTCTCTCAACCTTAGAGCATACCGCAGCTACGAAGTAAATCAATGACCATAATTTTTAGTGAAAGTCCACGGATAGTGTGTAGTGTTACTGCTGTACCTGTTGCTCACAAAAATGCTGATGGTGACATCTGGCGAAAAATTGTGTCTACTTACGGATACACCATCGTTTCAATTGTAGTTTAGTCAGAGCCATAAAACTGGCAACACACGTTGCAATAGTTCATTTCCCGCTTAGCTACGCACACGCATTAACCAGGCAAAAGTATTGGAAGGAACTTGAAGAAACGCACAATCAGGTCTATTTATCATTTTATCAGTAGGTGGGTAAAGGTTTAATAGATTTTTGTAAAACTAATTGCGCGTCACCCAGAGATGATCAACAACCGACAGAAGCGTACAAAATAACTCAAAAATGAACATACCGATTTTTTTGGAGTAATGTTTATTCCAAAACTTTCGGGTATGTTGCCTGATTATAGGACGCTTATCTTAACTAAGAAAGAACATATGGTAACCAACCTTATTTTTAATTAAGTATTATTAATTTATAACGGATAAAGGAGCAAATGTTTAACATGTCCATCAGGTAAAAATTAAGGCCAAAATGTGAAATAATCAAAAAACTAATGCGTATTTTTGGATTCCGTTTGATCACATTGTCCCGAATCCCCGTAACTTGGGTTAAACGTTTTAGTACAGGTGGTGTGATACCCCATCGGGTTGAAAAATGAATTCAGCTGACATAGGAGCGGAGATGACATAACACGAAAAATCGTTCTACAACTAGAAGACGCAAATGTAGGAAAAGTTCCCACGATATTTCCTTCAGCTGTACTAAGTGACAACGGTTAAGCCGTGGCCTCTCATTTAAGCATTGTGGCTGAATCATACTAAGTGTCGGTGGACGTGGTTACTATATTTAAGGATATGATAGGTCAGCATAAGACCACTCTGCAAGCGACGACCTGTCCACTGAAGGCTCTTAGAGTCTTCAGCTTAAATTGATAAAGGACACTTAGCCAACATTTAAAATACTTTGGGATCAAACAGATCAAACGCTCGCCGCATGTGGTCTAGGTGTTGGCTGGATTGTTCGTTGCCTTTTATGCTTGCCTGCAGCTTCCTAGATCGTATCGCACGAGCACCTTAAGATCACTTTCATGGCAGACAAACTGCAAAACTTTTTCTTCCAGTACATATTCTCAGGTTGTTTGATGACGTATGAACAATACTTTAGATTTGTTGACATAAAACTAGGGAATGTCGCGAGCCGACAACTCGTAAGCCATGTCGAGATCACGTGGCAGTGCTATATGGTCGTCTATTTTACTGAGTTCGATCAAGCCACCGATCTGCCCAGGGACAGAGGCTTCAGCCGATATTTCCACTCTTTGTTACACAGCGATTATCAAGTAGTTTCGAAATCAGACGTGAATTGCCTTGTTTTCGGACGGTCAACATCCAATGTTGACCGGCTTCATCAATTTGCAGTCTCAGTGATCGAAATGACTAAGAATGCGTTTTATGAATATCGAGGTCCACATTGAGGTTGCACGATACATTCCATCCACAAAAGGAATGTTTCATGGTAAATACCATCTACCATACCGATTGAAACTGAAAATCCTAAGAGTATGCAGATGACAATACCATCTTCATAGAGACTCCATTTTGATCTATTAAGTTTCAAATAGCCCCAGTCAAGTTTGTCTAGCTAGCTACACATTAGAAACGCCTTAAATGACGCCGAATTTGTCTGCCGTGAAACGTTTTTCCCAATTATGTCATTGTGGGCCACCGACTTTTCCCCATTTTAATTAAAATTTAAGATTGCCTAAAACAGTTGTATCATAGGATAGGACCTAGGAAAGTAGATAGCACAACCAAAATGGATAATCGTCCCTCCATTGATATCAAGTAGGCAAATTTGAATCTGAACGTATGTGAATGGCTCGCAGTATCCGATTCTAGCTTTGCCTGCAACTGCGGTCTTCTTAGAACAGCCACAGTACGTCTGTACCTACAAAGAAATCATGGGTCGTTTGCGCTACACCGCCGACAGCTCCATCCACACATTCATGTCCAGTGTGAATCCGAAGGAGTAAGACCGGGAGGCATGCGGATGGGAGCCACGTTTCATTAATCGAGCCGGTCAACGTTCCTTCAACATGCTCAGTAGCAGCATTTCTGTCTACCTATGTGGAGAAGCATGCGTATCGAACATTCACAAGGTGATGACTGGGCCATTTCCGGTTCCACCTTGGATGTATGGAACTACTCATTGAGCTTAGCACGGTCACGAGGACCGTGAATCCCGTCTCCCCCAGCGACGACCGACAATCTGCTGTATCCAGTATAAACGAGGTAATGGTTTTCGATAGGTAGGCACCTTGACAAAATCCACAGTAAGCGCAGCCACGCCGGGGAGATCAATTAGTAAACATAAAATGAACCGAAAAATTGCGATCCAATGACACTACTGCGCAACTCAAAAATGGGCATTGATTCTGCTCTAGTGTGCAGGTGATCTATGGAAAGTATAAGCGTATGTTGGAGGATATCAACCAACCAACATGGCAAATACAATAATTAAAAACATTCGAAATAAGTAGGGAATTATTGAAGGGACACTTTCGGAGGATCAGCAAAATTAATCAAATAAACTCATACAGTTTGATCTAGTGTAATGCGGAACAAACAAAGTGTAAATCGCTGAGCCCAACTGAGTTGAAGAAACAAAATGTTTATACATCGGCCTCAGCATGAGGCTTACAAATGTGAATCTCGTGGTTTGTAGGTACAGTGCGCAATCTATCTGACCGAAATTTCTTTCTTAGAGCTCATAATTTTCTTCCAGCTCATTCTACGATGCCTCTACAGCTATAGGACCCATACCTGCAGTCTATCATTTTCCCACCTTATCATTCCAAAGAAAATTTAGTTAAACACCCAAAGTACAGTAGTTTAAATAAAGCACACACAAACAAACGCAGGACAAAGACATGACTATAGATTGCAATTTTATTAAGTTATTTTAAGGGTTCCTTGTTAGTTGTGATTCGCAGCTTTGCATAGAATGCACGGTTGCTGGCATCAAATTCCGGAGGTGCTTGTCACTGTGGCATCTATAGAACAACCACTAGACGTCTGCACCAACAGATGGACCATGGGTAGCTTGCGTTGCATCACACACCCCATATGCAGTAAAAACGCGAAGAAGTAAGACCGGGAGGCATGTGGATGGGAGCTGGATTTCATCAACGGAGCCAGCCCACACTACTTCAAGATGCACAACAGCAGCATTCCTGTCTATCTATGTAGGTAATCATGAGCACCAGGCGTACACAAGGCGGTGGCTGGGTTGTAGTCCGCTCTGTACTAGATGGGACCACTCTTTAAGCCTAGCACGGCCACGAGGACCTTGCACCGTGTCCTATCCAGCAACGATTCACAGTCTTCTGGAGTCAGTAATCGAGGCGGTGGCTGTCAGACAGGTCAACATTCACATCCGACGCAGTCACACCGGGGAAATCAAACAATCAACAGAAAATTTGACGGACCACAAACATACGGAATTGACAATATATGCAGCAGAATAAGCGAATGGAACAGACCAAATAATGTGATAAAACTTTTATCCGGATTAAAAATCTAGCTTCAGTGTAAGTTGCTTATGTCCAATTGCAGTGAAGAAGCATCATAAATGCAACATCAACCTGCGTACAGAGTGTTTACATTTATGAAAACCATATACTACAATATAAATAAATACTAGTGGGTTAAGATTTCCCACTGGCATTGGGACACGAAGTTCCTAAAAGCTGAGTCTAGGAGAGAAACCAAGCACTTCTCAGCGGACCTAAAACTCGCTATACCCTAGATAGGAATAAAATTATATACCTTTTCATTTATTAACCATTAAAAGTTATATATGAGCAAATACTTTATGCTTACCTTCCACTCATGATCAGGAATAACTATCTGTATGAGGACTTTCGATGAAGGACTGCTAACTGAACTAGAAGACGTCGAGCCAGCGATATTGCTTGCCGGATGGTTGAGGGTTGATTCTCTATCCACCCTTCCAGGTGGACCATCCATGGGATGTTGGAGTACTGCAGTAATCAGTGATACTCAACGTTAAACGAAACAACAGCTACTTCCTACGGCCCAAAACGCCTCACATCTTTTTGCCCAGTTTTGTCGGTTCTCATAAAACTTGTGGTGCTGAAATTGAAAAATGGGGAAACCGGTGTTATTCTCTCAGCTAAGGTATATTAAAGCACTTTTGTCCACAGGTGAAAGAAAATGGAAGGGCTGACAAATACGTTCGCTGTCTTAATTTGGCCCTGAATTTAATTTACAGAAACGCATTAATTTGCTATTTACGTAGGAGTAGTAGTGGAGTTGAGTGGTATAGGTAGACTTTCCTCACATGTAGACTCACTCAGGCAGTTGTCACACGCCCGGAAAAGCACGCGCGTTTCATCCTTTCGCGAATCGTTGGCAGTGCGCGTTCTCACAGACCCTGGTAGGGCTCGAAGCCACAACCCGACTGTTGCCATACAGTGGTTGAGACCAATGAGTTACGGGGGACGGCAACGACCATCGTTTCTAAGTTGCTAGATGTGATATAGAGTCGCTCACTATCCACTGACTTGCACGTTACTGCCGTGCAGAGGACTGAGTAGACCATTTACCAAGCGACGAAGTTACCAAACTTAAGCCGCCTATTAATGTATGGCATTATAGGCAGTTTAGTCTGTCTACTGATGAGAGAGAATTAGTGAAGGGGGTTGAATGTTATTGGTAGAAATTCACCAAAGCAATGGTCTCAGCCACTGAGTGCCAACCATCGAGTTGCGGGTTCGAGTCCTACCAGGGTCTGTGAGAACGCACACTGTTAAACATTCCCGAGAGGATGAAAAACGCGTTCAGTGGTTTTCCGAGCTTGTGATGGCTGCTTGAGTGAGTCTTGATGGGAGCAATTACGACCAATTTGATATTTCTCCAAAATACTTAGGTCTGCTCCGATACCCTTGTATAATATGTACTGACAATAAGCACTGCTTCCCCGATACGCCTGTAGCTGGTTTACTCTTTATAACGTGTGGCTTTCATGTAAACATGATTTCCGCGATATCATGTTTTACGAGTTACAACACAAAATATACCTCATCAGGACCTACAACTTGTTTAATTCCTCATGTGTGGATGATTATTCACTAGCGAACAAGCGGCACAACACATGGACACCAGTACGAGCTTATGGTGTCCTAATTGTAACAAGTCTCCCATCCTTTATGATTTGGAGGGCAGAAAGTCTATTTCTGGAACGATTTGCGGGAACACATATAATAGAAGCAAACTCAGTGCAGCTGTTCAAAATATCGTTAGATGTGAATTTTTCAACTCATACATTAGTAAAACGATTACCTAACGGTATGGAGGTCTCCTATTCATCAGTCCCCAGTTACCGTAGCTTTCAAGTTGTTTTAAGACTCCACTAGGGAACTAGAAAGTGATTAGAGTATGGAAAAGTCTAAGATAACTTTTCTGTTTCCTTACGTTTATGATAATATTTCGATGGATTTGTACTAATTGGAAATTTTACTTGCTTCCATAATGCAGTAATAAGTATTTAGCAGACAGACTCTACCATTCTGTCATGCGGTACTTCAGGCAACCTGGCCAATAAACTCAACCCAAATCATATTGTTGCTCTTTGGACCTTAAAGGCCATATTGAAATCAAAAAGACGTTGGGTTTCATCGTGGAAAAACTTGTTGATAAGTTGAAGCAGCATTTCCACATAATTACAACCTGTAATGCGAATTGTTCCACGATAAGGTAGAACGAATTGGGTGCAGCGAGCGGAAAGCAAAACTAATCCCATTGAAATATTGAAGGTGACGATCAAGCGGAAGACATGAACGTCACTAGAACGAACGAGGACCGAAACAGACACAGACATCATGGACGAGGTCAGACATTTCAATGCAGGTCCAGCAAAACGGGTGGAGAGCGGATCGCGAGCAACGAAAGGGAAACAGCCTGAGCCAAAGCGAACAGCTAAGGTATTTATTGAAAGGCAATACATCAAACAGGAATGCCTTTTTCGGTGCCCCCGGGAGTACACCCAAGCAGTGACGTCACTGCAATCAAGAACTTTAGAAGAACTTCAGGCTTGACAGAATGCGGGCTATGCTAGCAAAGATACGGAGTAAGATAGGTAGCCAAGACTCACAAAGTTGCAGACAAACGAGGCACGAGTGTGACCTAATAATTCCCTCTGTATGTTGCGTTGTGGGATGGAAACAGGGTTGATATACGCGCGCATGCGTGCTCCTAATGGAGCAGTAATTGGGTGCAATAATGATTGTACTTTCTTGCCTCTTTGTTTTAGCTACAATATGATAAGAGGAACAAACGTCAGTGAATTTGTGGGGGAGCAATGTGCAATTTTTATGTACGGATTGATTTACAATGTGTGATATGTAAGAAATGAAGTGAAACTTGATTTCGATGAACGCAACTTTGTTTCTAAGCACGGGTAATAGCTGGAGATCACCTGCAGCAGTCCGGTTTTCACGGTTTGTCTGAGTTATTTGGGAGAAATTTTGACCAAATTTCACAGCGTATTGTGCAATTAAGAGATGGGTGCAGAATGCAGAACAGTATGTGGACTTCGTTTGTTTGAATTTGACCCGCTCTTGCTCGGCGTCTTCGCTGCACTCCATCGCACCAAAGTGACGGGTGCTCTGGATCTTCGTTCCCCTAGCTACGGACATCATCGGTGTCTTTTTATAACTAGTATGGATTGAGCCTTTGTTGTAAAAGGAAAACATTACGATTACAATTACAAAAACCTCCTACTCATTTGTAATATGAAATGGAGCCAATCCTAATTTCAAATGCCATGTACTTAGCGTCTAGTGAGAGGAAGTCATGACCTTTGGAGGCCAGCCACTGTCATGTACTAAGGTAGTAAAATACGTGGCAGTGGAAGATAGGTCGTGCTATATCCCAGTTAACTAGCAAATTGGGTAGTCCATCCGGCAGTCCCCAGGGCTCAGTCGCTTAAGCTGCTGATAGTTGGCATCTGCCTAAAGCGGTCATGGGGTGTATCCGTAGTAGCGGACCAAGGGAATGCACACCACTGCCGAGCCCCAATAACGCGAAACGCTTCTGATGCTATTCCAGACTAGGCTGTGCTATGTAGCTTGTGAACAGCTGGGACGAAAACATTACGATTACAACAGGAAATTGCCCATGCATCCAACGCATTTCTGAAATCATACTCTGAGTTCACGCTCAATAGTTCGATGATGTATCATGGGATACAAAGTATAACTTTACAAGACCCACAGGATGGAAAATGCGCAAAAAAATTAACATCAAAATTGCTGTAAAGTTGAAGGTGAATAATCAGTAGTAAAGACATCGTACTTTATCATACTGTTATGTGGCGTATAGCACTGTGATGAAAGTATAGTATTCTCTCGGATGTCGCGAGATCTCATGCGTTCACCTCATGTGTTGGTAAAACATTTCAGTTGGAATAGATTCTAAGAGAGTAAAAATAGTTCCTACAATCCAAACGGGAGTATTACGTCACTAGTTTCAGGTGCCGGCCTCGACATTAGTTTTAAAAGGCTGGGGTCAGCAGTGATGCATATGGGAGGTGACTTGCAGTTAGTACCTGGATTATGATGATGATATCTCCGCGAATCCATCGGTATTCTGTGATAAACACACAGAGTAAACGAAGGCGTAGTTCGTAACTGAGACCGCATAGTCCACGTGTTGCTTTGGTAGCCCTTCTTTGGGGCTGTTCCAGGAGACAAATATCTCATTGTAACCACGGGCGCCAGGCCTGAATCGCAGAATCAACATGGGGAAGAAGATATTTGTTGAACCACTGTGATGTTAGCCGTCGCTCAGTGGTGCCGAGAGGTCACTTCAAAAGCCTCGAGTTCAACTTCGGCACATTCGCTGCGTTCGAGTATTGGAGCGAACTACCAAGACTTCCTTGAACGGTGATACCCAAGTCTCATTCACTATTCACATGTCGCAAAACGTGCTGTTCCTGAAGATATGTGCTGCTGAAGCTGCTACGCGCCGTCAGCAGGGGGTACTTTGCATGGTTCAGTGGGAGCCGATTCATTTCTGCCTATACGTTAATCCGGTTCAGATCGTTCTGGAGATAGTCACAGTCGGATGTTGAGCGAATTGCATTCCATATTTTAGCATCATCTGCAAATATCTGCATCTGGGATAAAAATGTTTTCTGGGAGGTCATTTATGTAAACTAAAAACAGCAGCGGACTGAGGACGGATCCTTGTGGTACACCACTGGATACGCACAAGCTTTCAGAGTGAGCACTGGTTATTCTTACCTTGATGCTTCTGCTTTGTAGGTAATGTCCAAACCAGGTGAGCAGAGAGCCGTTTATACCGTAGACAGCAAGAATTTGGAAGAGAACGAAGTGAGCGACGCTCTCGAATGTTTTATAAAATTCTAAGTAAACCACATCTACGGGGACTTCTTCATCAGCCTCCCTGGTCCGTGAATTCCGTGTAAGCAGCAAATTGGTGATGCAAGATTGTCGGTGTGTAATCATGTTGGACATTAGAAATTATTTCCAGACTTTCAAAGTATCGCGTCAGTACGTCTGCGATCACCGATTCCATCACTTGTGATAAAACTGGTAGGAAAGGATAGGTCGGTAGTTGGCAGGTTCCGATCTCTTACCTCCTTTGTGTTTCGGAGAGCTAATTCCGTTTTTCCCCACAGATGAGAGTGTGTAGGAGTCAAACAGACTCTGCAAAGACGCTGCACGAAGGAGTAAAGGTTTTAAGCACCTTTGGACAGATCTTGTCGATTCCCGAGACAATGTTTACCCTGGAGAAACGGTACTTTGTTGACAACAGCCTCTGGAGTACAGATGATACTAAATAAGCCAACAGCATTCATCGGGAGTTGACTGAGCAAAAGTTCCATGGTATTTGTAACCACTGAGCCAAACTGCAGGAGTAGAGCGTTCGCGGTCTCCACAGCAGGAGGCGTTAAGCGACTAGCTGTCTTAAGTGGTGGTATT